CACGTAATGAAGATTTTAACCTTATTGCATATTCAGACTCTGATTTTGCAGGTGATTTACTAAATAGGAAAAGCACGTTTGGAACGGCTCACTTCCTAGGTCCTTGCCTAGTTTCATGGAGTTCTAAGAAACAAAACTCAGTTGCTCTTTCAACAGCCGAAGCTGAGTACGTGGCAGTCGCATCTTGTTGTTCACAATCCTTGTGGATCATGCAACAAGTGAGTGACTACGGGATCAACCTAAATTGCACGCCAATCTTATGCGACAACACCAGTGCGATCAGTATTTCAAAGGATCCGGTCATCCATTCTCGGACAAAACATATCCATATCCGTCATCATTTTCTGAGAGATTGCGTGGAAAAGGGACTAATCAAGTTGGAATATTGCAATACCGACAAGCAAATTGCCGACATCTTTACAAAGCCCCTGGGAAGAGAAAGGTTTGAATTAATTCGACTTGAACTCGGTCTAATCAATGCTTAAAATTAATTTTTCCTTTATTCTGTTTCTCATAAATATTGAATTACTATCTAAGGGGGAATCCTTTTCGAGATTATGTTAAAGGGGGGTAAGTTGATCTATGAATCTAATAAATCCTTAAACTTCCAAAAATAACAAAGTGCTTCAAAAGCTTTAAAACCAACCGCACACTTCCTAAATTAGAAAATTATTTTGAAATTCTTCCTGGAAAGAAATCATTAAAGATCTCTTGGGAAGGTAGGATGATTTCGGCTTCCACTTACCAATTAGCCGCCCACTTCCAAAAATCATCCACCTTCCATAAAATCCTCCTTCCTTCTCTTCCCTAACTGCCATGGTCAAAACCAGAGGTTGTGCTCCTCCTGCACTTCGACTCTCAGGACGGAAACGGAACCCACAACCTCCCCCACCTTCATCAGTCACTCCGATTGATCTTGAAACTTCTCCTCATGCGAGCATGCAAGATCAACACTTCGAGTCTTCCGATTCACCACCACCTTCCCCCGCATCTTCCAAGGGGGGACAAGAAGGAAACCCACCATCCTCAGCCACTCCCTCTCCGGTGAAGCATTCTAAAGAAAAAACCCCTCACTCGTGAAGGGAAGATTCTGCCTCGAAAATACACCCGGAAGAGAGCCATTGCAGAAGGTATCATCTCAGGAGAGCAAACAACCAAAAAAATTCCTAAACTAGGGAAAGTGGCGGAAGAAGATGCTCTCAGACTCAAAGCTGCATACAAGAAAAGAGGTATTGTAAAGGTAATCACTATTCCCTTCACCGAACTCTCCTCTCAAACTACTGATTTTGTAGAGCTCATTGCCATTCAAAAATGGGGGTCTCTTTTCGAAGCAAAGTATTGTTGTCCCATCTACCCTGACTGTCTATCCGATTTTCTTGCTAATCTTATAATCAAAGACAATGCACTGGTATCTCGTGTTCGTGGTACCAAGCTACGCTTAACTGTCCAAGAACTAGCGAAGGTGTTAGATGTTCCCTATTCTGGTGAATGCCCTTACAAGAAGGAGGAGTGACCTCTGTCAACTATGACCCAAATTAATGCCATAAAATATTTTGACCCAAATGCTACCAGTCTTTCCCTTCTTGTGAGTAATCTGTCTCCTATCCACAAGTTTTTGTTTTACTTTGTCCATTCCAATCTCATCCCTCGACTGGAAGGAAGATTGATTTCATCTAGGCTAGAAGTTGCATATATGTATCTCCTAGCCACAAAAACCCCTATTAACCTTCCTGGCCTTATGTTTGCTCATCTCAAATTTACCATCAGTGATCGCGCTAGAAAGGTTGGGATCCCTTTCGGCACTATCTTGACACACTTGTTTATCAAAATTGGGATCTCTCTCGACAATCTACCTTACCACACCATTCACGAAAATCTTGACACTAAGGGTCTTCTGAGCTACGGCATAACCGTCCACAACTCTAAACTCATCTTCAAGGAAACCATTACACCACTTCCTTCATCCAAAACTTCTAAACCTAAGCCAGTTCCTGCTGCCTCTCATGACCCAATGCATTTTGTCACTCTTGTCAAAGAGCAACTACACCTCATGGAGCTCACTATGATACGCAGGTTTGATTCTTTGGCCGAATTTGTAACATCACTCTCCAGTAGACTTGAGGAACTTCGCACCGAACTAAAAACCTTTCAAGGTGAAGTGTTGGCCAAATTCGATCAAGACACTGAAGGAATCCACAGGAAAACCATTTCCTCTTCGGATGAAGAATAATTTGCCGTCATAAACATTTTTCTACAAATACTATGATTTCGGGAGGGGATATCACAATTGAATGCTATTCTATTACCCTTTGGCATTGTTTTGGTTATTTTCTGTTTCCTTTTGGTTGATGCCAAAAGGGGGAAATAATCAGGTGCCTTCTCTTCTCTAATACTAGTTTCTTACCAGAGAGGGCGGCAGGAGGTGCTATCATGCGTGGGAGAAATGGTGAGTTCAGCGCTGCTATTTCTTTCCGGGTCGAAGCTTCTTCCCCGTTAGAAGCAGAGATTCGAGATGTCTTCGTCGCTTTCTGGTGGGCAGTGGCGGAAGGCTATGAAACGTTTCAGGTAGAAATGGATTCCTGGTTAGCGATGGAGTTCTTCCAAGGGAAGAAGTCGAGGAGGTGGGCAGATGAATTTCAGAAAACCTTACAAATGGCTTTTAGGAAAGGAGTTGTTTTTGGGCATTCTTTACGGGAGAGTAATTGGGCTGCGCATCATTTAGCCTTGGGCCCGGTGGACCGAACAGTGCAGTATAAGGACATGGGTCAGCTTCCTTTATTTATTCGTAGGGCTTTTTGGATGGTCTTTTTTGGCATTCCGACATTTAGATATTAATTGTATCGGGTTCGGTTTGGCCCCCCGTTTGTAATCTCATCTTTTTTAATAAAATCTGGTAAATGTCCCCCAGCATTTACCCCACTGATTTTGGTGGTTGACCTTCCGGGGTAAAAAAAAGAAAAAAAATCTGCAGGAACTCTTTTGGCACCTAAGGTTTGTCATCAACAAAAAGGGGGAATTTGTTGAATATGAAGTTTTGTTGATGACTAACCATAAACAGAAAAGAACACTATCCTTAGGTCCACAACAAAAGACAATGCCTTGTCAATTCATTAAACCATGCAGGTGGACCTTTGGATAGAACTACGATTGGGTCTATCGGGGACGAACTTCGTTCTGGTAGGGATTAAACTATGGTCATGCTTGATAAATGAAGTAATTTGATATATGCCTACTCACAATGCCTCATACACGTGACACATCTCTTATGCATGACTAAGCATTCACTTTATTTATCAATCTATATATGTGTCACAGAAAACAAACCTTTGTCACTATTATGGTAATAACCATTTCATATATGCAAAGAAATCAACCTATCTATTCCATAAAGATTAGCCGAAGATTTTTTGGAAAAGATATTTTCGTAGCTTGATTTAAAATTGCGCATGAATATCTTATTGCTACTTAATATCCTTTGCATGTTTATATAATAAAGAAAATCTATATATCTTTATATGGTGACTCGTAAATCATGGATCAATTTATTCTTGATTGAGCGAATAAGAGAGAAATTGCTGGAAGGAAAGTAATTCAAAAATATCAAGGAAAGTCTACCAAGCTTCCAAGGAAAGGAGAATCAACGGATATCCTCTGGGCTATATATAGTCGAAGACCGAGAGAAGAAGAGGTGTGCTTGACCGAGCAATTACCAAGAGAAATACTTATAAAGAATTATCAAGACCAAGGCACCTGGACCTGCTCACGAAGTTCTAGATATAGTTCCTACTCCCTTCTTTATCTTGTAACTAGATTTTGAGGAGAAGCTAAAGTGTAGCCTCCTCGAGTTGGGGTCGTGTGTGTGAGAGCTTTGTTGTAAAGCTGAGAGGCTCTCTACCCGCAAGGTAGAGATGCATAACTCTTCCTAGAGAGGATAGAGTTGGGGTGGCTCAAGGGTAGATTAGGAGAATTTACCTTGTAACCACAAAAGGGTTTTTAGTGAAGTTGTTTAAAATTCCTCCAAGGGAGGTCGAGGTTTTTTAATCCCTTTGAGCCAAGGGATTTTTCCTCGTTAAATCCTTGTGCACTTTACTATTTCGCATTTCCCTGAACCCCACACTAGAACTGTGCGAAAAACTGCTACGGTTTCACACACACAATTCACACACACACACACACACACACACACCCCACACCCCTCTTGTGTTGCTAACCGTTTCATTAGATACTATTAGCTACACCTACACTTCTATAAGTAACAAGGTGAGAGTGTCTTTTCTTGAACCAAGTGTTCATTAGAGTCAACTCATACGTCGATGTAAAATCCAAAATGTCATTTCCCACTTCATTTCTTGTGTCAAAACCATGTCTACATTGAATACTCTCAAAGCCTCTACGACATGAGCCCACTTACAGATTGTGGTCGCTTCCTATGATCAGTTTTTTTCCACTTGACACTCGTCGCACTACTTCCTAAAAAACTTCCCAAAATTGTTGTGATAAATGCATTCAATCCATGTCATAGGCACATACCAGAGACATGATTTCATCCTGTGTCATCACTTTAATGCTCATAATAACTAGGTTTTATTTTTAAAAAGTCACCACATTCTCAACATTGTCACACTTCATTTACTACAACTTTGACAGTGTGGACGATTCTCTCTCCCCAAGTACTACAACTTAAAAGTTAAAACCTTTAGAATGAATCTTTCGTGTCTTTTCTCCAACCCACTTCATTTGATGCACACACTACTACTAATAATCTTCCACCTCATAACCTCAACTACATGAGATGATCTTCCCACAAGGCCACAAAAGATCCAATGTTCCATGTCGTGAAGCGCATCTAGAACTTCACCTTCTATTCTTAACTCCCATCATGCCCCCTGATATTTGATATTTTCTAAATGTTTGTAATCTAGTTTGAATTTTGTTTTTTATCTAATCAGAATAAATACAAGCAATGAGGTGACTAAACAACATCTAAAATATCTAAGAATCGTCCACATTGTCAAAGTAGTGCCTCCATTTTATTATGTTACAAAACCACATGCCAATCCCCCGCACAAACTTCACAAACCATCCATCACTTTAAATTTCCTTGATAATTAAAAAAGTTAAAGAATTTCAAATTTTCTAATTATTATATATAATTAGAGAGAGATAGATTGCAAACTTTTTGCACAAAATTGAGGAAAGATGGCCGGCCACAAAGAAACACCCCCAAATACAAGATGGCAGGCAGTATATCTCCTTCAGAGCACCAAATCATAGACCTATGAGAATTTTCATTTTAACTATAAAATGATATTGCATCAATGGATGATTGGTTTCCCGATGGTCGTGGCTTGCCTCCCATCACCGTCACATAAAAATCAAAAGAGATCTCTACCATTCATCTCTTGCTGTACTGACTAAGGTAACTGAAATCTTCAGTGCGCTCATTTTTCCATATTTTTAACATTTGAGGAAGAGGCAAAGAGAAATCAATGACGGGAGAATCCACGGGCTTCCATGTCTCAACCTGTTGAGCTAACACATTAACGGCGTGCCCCATTTCGGGCCGATGGTTTGGATCACTTGACGTGCAATGCCCGGCTAACTCCACAATGATACAAATACTATCATAGATTTCTTCTTTTGGTTCAAGGGTTGGATCAATGCCAGCCAGAAGCGTCTCTTTCCCTCTTCTCATTTTCCAAAACCAATCTAACAAATATCTCCTCTCCTCTGAACGACGTTCATCAAGTGCCGTTAAGCCTGTCAACAGTTCCATCAGAACCATCCCAAAACTGAAGACATCCACTTTGGTTGTGATTTTACCTGTCACTGAGAAATAAAAAGAAACAAACGGTCATTAGGACAAAAAAGTAAAATGTTCTTACAGTGATCATCAGGGGAAATTTGTTCCTGCCAATCAACAAGTAAAGAAAATCTCATCAATTTAAAATGAATATGAATTCCTCAAGTCATTTTAATTATAATTCATTTTCCAAATTTATTACTCCCAAATACAATTAAGTGTTTCCCCACCTCCCCCTTCCTTTTCCCTCCAACAATATACCTTCAAACTCCCAAACATACCCTAAGTCTCTAATTGTCCTGCGCTTCTGCTTACCCCTTCAGGACCATTTGGTTCAAGGGATGTCAGATTACCATGGAAATGTTATATTACTGGGTATGTTAGATTGATGGGAATGTGTTTAATTTGTTCCAGATTGTGTTTGTTTAAGATTAAGGGAATGTGACATTAATTTGTTTGGTTCAATGGTATCTTATATTGCATATTTGTTGAATTACTTCAACGCCCTTTAAATTTTTCTCTTAAACACACTAAACTTGTTAATTATTACAACCTACAATTAAGATAATTAAATATCTTAATAATAATTAGACAAAGTTTACCTGCCAAAAAATTAGTTTTACTAGACGAAGGGAGTAATCATTAATCATAACTCAGAAACTTAACTTCAGTTGGATTTAATATTTATGGAGTAGGGAGTAATCCCTATCTAGTATTCCTTGATTTCCTTCACGGTAGCAGAGGGAGAGCATAAAGGAATAAAAATGACTTTAAAAATTGGCCTATTGGGTAGAAGAAGTTGTGGCAGAGGGTAGTATACTTCACCTTCAGATTCAAGCTAAGGAGGGTGGATATTTTTGAAAGAAAATTTACAATTATAAGGGAATGTAAGATAACCCAAGGGAGTGGTGGGTTTGACATTAATGGGCATCTGATGCATTATTCACTTTTTAAGGAATGTAACATTCCCGAAAATTATTAAAACCCATGAACCATATCTCACATTCCCGACATCAAATTCGTGATCTAGAATGCCTGTGTGGCTGCGTCATGATTTGCGCATCACATGAGTCCCAAGCTCACAGACTTCTCTCCTCTTCTTTGTTTAACTTCTTTTTTTAGAATGGCTTCTCAATTTGACTGTTAATATTTATTTTCTTCAACTTTTAATATTTTCTGCATGTTAATATTTCCCATCACTTGTATATTAACTTTCTGCATACTAATACTTTCCAGCATGTTAATATTAACTTCCTGGATGTAACTTTCTGCATATTAATATTTTCCGTCAGTTGTATATGATGCTAGCTTAAACTTTACTTTTTTTTAATCCAATCACAAACCACTAAATGCATTCATTCCTCTTTCCAAAAGCAGGGGAAAGGAATGTTATTGATTCAATTGTAATAAATCTGAAAGGGCAAAAAAGGAAAAAAGACAAATGTTACATATACCTATCATTTATTTAAACACGATCTGGGATACCTAATCAATCCATACATATACAACTTTATATTTCATCGTAGAATAATACGCAACACTTATAACCTCAATATGCAACACAAATAGCGAAAAGATTCATCGTACAAACGTTTTCACAATAAGCATAGTTTGTACTACCCCTATATATAAGAGAGAGAGAGAGTAGTATTCCTGTCTGGCCTGGCCGGACAGGAGGGTGGTCCGGCCACCTCGTTTTGCGATGGTTCCCGGTAATATTTTTGCTGATTTTTTTTAGCATGTTCCCCATGAAGTGTGGATGATGTCCACCAAATTTGAGCAAACAATTCAATCGGGAAGGCAGTCAAATGATTTTCAGAAGATAACTGCGCCAAAATATACACATAAACACAGTTATCTTCCAAGAATCATTTGGCTGCCTTCTCGATTGAATTTTTTGTTCATAATTGGTGGACATCATCTATACTTCATGAGGAACATGCTCAAAAAATTTGAACAAAAAATACCACCAGGAACCACCTCAATAATTCCAATTAGATCCTTTTTACATTACATAATTATTTCAACTAAAAAGTGACAATTTATCAAAGTAACCATTATTAGTCTAAAGAATCCAATTTCAATTTTTAATTTAACCATCTCAGACTTTATTACCAATTTTCCAGATTGTTATATTATTATTATTATTATTAACGATAATAATTTCAATAAAACGGTGTAGCCCAGCTTTAGAATTTCTTCTTTAAATAAACCAGATAGGATAATTCTTGTCCGGCTTGGCCGGACAGGAATATGTGTGTGTGTATCTTCCCATGAGAAATGTGACGTCTCCACTTTTGATCAACTGAAGTGCACTATTGCACTTAGATGATTTCGTCATCCACTTTTGGCCATCCACAGTACACTTCTGCACACATGAAGTCTACTTTTTGCAAAGAAGTTTATTTATTTATTTATTTACAAAATTGTCACCACGTTTGTAATCCATTTTTGACATATTTAGAGCCATTAGAACTTAGATTTGTTGCACCGGGTTTATTCCTACTCTTCATGGGAAGGAGACTTTTTATTTGATCCTATATATATATAGAGTAATCTTCCTGTCAGGACGTCCGGCCAGGACGCCGCTGTCCGGACCTTGGCATTTGGGCCCCTTCCCGGTGAAATTTCTTGATGAAATGTTTTGGACATATTCTCCATGAAGTCTAGTTTATACACAAAAAATGTCAGATAAAAATTCAATCGGGAAGGCAGTAAAATAATTTGTGGAAGATAACTGCGCCAAAATATACATATAAAAACACAGTTATCTTCCAAAGAATATTTGATTGTCTTCCCAATTGAATTTTTAGCTGAATTTTTGTGTGGATAAACTGGACTCGATGAAGAACATGCCAAAAAAAATTCATCAAAAAATTCAACCGGGAAGAAGCCGAACGCCGAGGTCCGGATGGCGGTTCCTGTCTGGATGTCCTGACAGGAACTTTTCTCTCTCTATATATATATATATAGAGAGAGTAATCTTCTGGTCAGGAATTTCTTGACCAGAGCGCCGTCTGGCCGCCGCCGTTTGGGGCGGTTCCCGGTGGTATTTTTTGCTGATATTTTGTCTCCATGTTCTTCATCAAATCTAGTTTATCCGCACCAAATTTCAGCTAAAACTTAAATCGGGAAGGCAGTCAAATAATATTTTGAAGATAATTGAGCCAAAATATACATATAAAACGCAATTATCTTCAAAAAATTATTTGACTGCCTTCCCTATACAATTTTTGGCTGAAATTTAGTGTGAATAAACTAAACTTGATGAAGAACATGCACACAAAAAAATAGCAAAAAATATCACCAGGATTCGCCCCAAACGACGGTGGCCGAACGGCGCTCCGGTCAGGAAATTCCTGACATGAATATTTGTGTGTGTGTGTATATATACACAAGTATAATATACACACACACTACCTTTGTCCCGTTTAAAAGGTTCTCATTGAAAAATGGCACGATTATTTAGACAATAATTACATAAGGTAATTTGAGTATATTATGAGAAATAATTTTGATGAGTATATAATATAATGGGGACATTGATGATAATTGTGATGTTATAGATGTATTATTTTTATAATTGATGATTAAATTTTCATTTAAGAGTGTTAATTGTTTCTAAAAATAGAAATGAGAACATTTATATGAGACGTCCAAAAAAGGAAAGTCAAAGCCTTAAAATGGGACGGAGGGAGTATAAATTACGCCTCAAAGAGCAATGAGGCTTACATAAATATGCAATTTAAAAAAGTTGCCACAGCAATGCAATACACAATTTTGAACTTTGCTCACGAAGTTAAGACAAATGACACTTCTGCCCTCATTCATATAAAGGTTCTCATTTCTATTCAGACATTTTCAGCCACAACGTCAATAAATAAATCCAGTCATTTTGACCATAATATAATTAAGCTCAGTCAATCAGATGACAAAATCTACTCTTAGAAAACAGGCTCTCAAAGACGCTTGTTTGATTTATTTCTTCAAGTGCAAAGATGAGTTTTTTAGTACCTGCATATTCTGGAGCAAGGTACCCAAATGTCCCAGCAAGCCCTGTTGCAACAGACACGTCTCTGTCAGGAGCGAGTTTCACCAACCCAAAATCAGAAACTTTAGCTCTGAAATCATCCCCGAGAAGAATATTGGATGACTTGAGGTCCCTGTGTATGAAGCTCTGGTGGGTGAGGCTGTGAAGATACTCCATCCCCCTAGCAACATCCAAAGCAATGCTCAACCTTTTTGTCCATGTCAGTGGCTCCAAGTCTAAACGCCTCCAGTGGAAAAGATGCTTACTCAAAGCTCCCTGTCCCATATACTCATACACCAAAAGCCTCTCATTCGCTTCAACCGAGTAACCCAAAAGTGAAACGAGGTGGCGGTGGCGTACTTTAGAAAGAACAGCAATTTCCGCCTGAAATCCGTCTACCACTTTACCGCTAACAATCCCGGCTTCCATTCTCTTAACCGCAACCTGAGTGCCATTTTCAAGAACCCCTTTGTAAACCACTCCGAATCCTCCACGGCCAATTTCATTGCAAGGGGAGAAGTTGTTGGTCACTGCGCGGAGGATCTGGAGTGGGATTGAGATATTAAGGTTTGGGGTTCCATCTTCAATCGTGGGCTCATCTATGATTGTGATCCTCGCATCATCGTTCCATTGGTCTTTACTTGGGTGGAACATGGCCACAGCACCATGAACCCTGTTTGACCACCTCCTCCCTCTCTTCCAGAGGTAACAGAGGTAAATAACACATAAAAGAACAAAGACCGTAGATGCTACAGAGACCGCCACAGTGAATACAATGACAGATTTTGTGTCTGAGTCCGTGAAGTTCACAGGGAGGGGTGGGGGGCTGTCTACCAACGATGGCAGTGGCGGATGGTTCACTGTTAATGAACCGTTCACTGTGAAATCAGGACTAGTTGGTAACGGCATGTTTGGAAGATCAGGCGGAGACAATACCATACTACTCGAAGGACTCAAAGCAACATATCCATTGGTAATAACTTTCACTCTGTCATTAAATTCCGGTAACGGCGCATCAAAGCTGTTCCCGCTAATGTCCAACAATCTCAGAGATCCCATTAAAGTTAAATCCGTAGGAACTTTCCCGTGCAAATGGTTCCCGAGCAGATGAATCTCAGCGAGTGAATTCATGCTTGCAAGTGATGAACTCAAGGTGCCATTGAGGCCAAGATTCTGGAGGTTAATAATGGAAACCTTACCGCTCGGGTTACAGGTGATCCCCCACCATTGCCCCTTGCAAGGATCATTGCCTGTCCACTCAGCAGCAAGGCGAGGAGGGTAATTCAACTCATGAAGGAATTGCAATAGAGCATTAACTTCAGGAGTACAAGGCTCGCCCGGATCCTGTTGGCAGAAAGAATTCGAAGAAAAAGTGACTTTTAGTGCTCTAAACTTTGGAATCGCACCCATCAGTAAATTTCCGTGTAGTCCTAATGTCTGCAGATACAAATCAGCCAAACCTTTGGGAACAAGACCGACGAGTTGGTTCCCATTCAGGTTTAGATCCTTCAAAGAAGTCAAGTTCCCAATATCATTTGGGATTTCTCCACTAAATCTGTTTCCATTAAGCCTAACGGACTTAAGCCTGACCATAGATCCTATGACATCAATCGAACCACACATCCCATCACCACCCTGACCACTCAACCACAGAACCTGCAACATAGAACTGCGAAAACTGTTTGGGATATCACCAGTAAGTCTATTTCCAGAAAGTTTCAAAGCAATCAGAGACGGAAGTTCTGCGAAATACCCTGGCAAGGGTCCCACGATATTGCAATTTGAACACGAAAAGTTGGTCAACCGGGATGACCTCTGAAGGTCTGAAGGTATAGACCAACCTGTTGACTTATTCAACGGGTTATCATCCATAATCAAAACACGGATACTATTAAGCCCATGGAAGAAATTCGAAGGGATAGTATCAAACTGGTTTCCATCCAAGGACACAGACTGTAGATTTTCCAAACCATTGAAAGTTGGGAGTTTGCCATAAAAATCATTCTTCTGAAGGCCAAGACTTTCCAGGCTATCGAGGTGATTAAAGTCTTGAGGCAAAAGACCTCTTAACCCCAAACCTTGAACCTGAATCTGTGTGACTTTGCCTTCAGAGCAAACAATGTGGGGCCATGTAGGGGGACCACAAGGGTCATTTCCGTCAGAAGGCCATTTCAGGAGCTCTGGGTTCTCTAGTCCGTTTTTGAATTCATTCAGAATTTTTAAATCATTTGCATTTGTCACACCGTAGACCACGCTAGGGCTCAAAAAAAGAATTGCATAATATATCCATATACTCACATACAAGATGCCTCTGTGATCAACAACCATTTTCAAGCACAAAGACCCCCCAGACCTCTTTGGCATGAAGAATCCAAACCATATGATAAACGGCCAGAATTTTGATCCAGTAAATCAAGATATGTGAAAAACAAGACAGAAACTTTGATCCACAAATCAAGAATTCTGAAAAAATAATTTCTACCAATCTCAAAAAGGAGATGCTTCAGGGGAAATTTGGACGCCTTGGGAAGTGGATGGGAGAGAGAACTGGGTTCTAAGTTCTAATCTAGGGTTTTCAATCTCTTTTTTTGTGTGTAGAATGTAGATCAAACCCTGATTAAGACGAATGTGCAAATTCAAGACCCCATTCTTCTCTCTCCCTCGCCCTTGTCTTCCAATCCTTTTATTTCTCTCTTCTATTTTCTTTTGCTGCTTTGCGTTTACTATTTCTTTCATCTTTTGTTTTCACTCACGGTCTATTGATTCTCCTGTTTTCTTTTCCTTTTTTCCCTGTGATTTTATTTTACGTAACTTTTCAGTTTAGAATGTTGGTAAAAGCCAAGGGGCATTTTATCACTGGCCAATTTACAAAATATTATTAGTTTAATGTTCAATTTGGCGCAATGTTTATCAGGCGCTAGGCGAGCGTCAGCAAGCGTGGACATAGAAATTATGTTTTTATCAATATTTTTGCATACACATGATAAGTATTATTGTGATTGTGTTTGTCCATATACAGACGCACACTCACACACATTAACATGCATGAATGGTAGGAACGTCACACTGAATAAGTTAATAGTATATTATAACTAATCACTTAACTTAATTATGTAATATATATTAAATGATAATAAAATTTAACAATATATACAAGCATATATAGTTTTATCTTAATCTACAAGTAGCTTTCTTCATATTTAAAGTTAAAGGTACATATCTCTTAGAAAAATAACACAAAAAAGCAAAAAAAAAGAAATGTTCGGCAAATCTAGACTCCCTAGGTGGCTGATTAGGCACTTACGGTGGGCAACTAGGCGGGCGACTAATTCACCTAGGCGTCAAACCAATTATTTGGGACGCCTCAACTAAAATCAGGGTGCCCGGCCACCGCCTAGTGTCCAGGCGGCGCCTAGGCGGGTACCTAGAGCGGTCTTTGGAACAGTGATTTCGCGTAACCAATGAATTCTTTACCCACTTATGAATAATCAATGAATAAGACAATCTTGGACTAATAATACAAGAACCTATTGCAGAGAATTTTTCTTTAGAATCAGATTGCAGTTCTCAAATAGAAGAATGGAGATTATAAGTAAATGATAAAATTTGATATTCAAATAGTATGTTTTACTAAATAACTTTAGTTGGAAAAAAGATGTCCACAAATCCTTGTTTCTCCCTTACAAATGGAAATGAGCGAAGTAGTTATCATTAGAGCCAAATTTGATATTCAAATAGTATGTTTTACTAAATAACTTTAGTTGGAAAAAAGATGTCCACAAATCCTTGTTTCTCCCTTACAAATGGAAATGAGCGAAGTAGTTATCATTAGAGCCATATTACATTCATTTTATTATTTGACATAAAATAAACATATGGTAACAATAAAGCCTGATCCAAGACTACCGATCTGTTGTCACAAATGCAGAAAAGCAATTGCTATTTGAGATAATTTTATTTATTTATTTATTTGTCAAAAGTATGAATTCTTCAAAATATCTTATGCCAACACACTCTTCCTGCAGTGGTCACTGTATGGCCAAATACAGCATTGATAAAAACTTGCAACATAATTATTTCCTTAGCCTAACACCAATAGGGGTATTTACTGTACAAGGATTTAGGAGGAAAGTGGGGATGAATTATTTTTCAGTTAAGAAAATTAATATAGCTTGAATTTTTAACATAACAACATAAATGATACATAGTAGTATAAATCCAATATCTTATTAGTCATTTATTTATTAACATAAAGGCATAAACTATATAATTCTCTTAACTTAATCTCTGTTTCCCTCTAAAAAACCCAACTCATAAACATAGCCCGAGAGTAAAATTTAAAAGCTTTCATTTTGTGATACTCCCAAACATGAAATGTATACACACACCCAAGCACGTGCGCACACATATACAACATGCACCACTATTACAAAAACTTACATATTTCAGGAAAGAGACCGACTTTCCTATGCGCCTCATAACTACGAGTACTTGAAGAATGGGGCAACATCTCTCAGGTACTTTCTGATATCCTCAATAGCTTTAGTGGAAAACGATTCATCTTCGGGATAATGAGCAATCGGATCAGGCAATAGAACATGTTCTGAAACATTGAGCACACCTTCGAGAGTCGCGTGGAGGCAATAAGCTGAGTAAGTGATGTGATACCCTCCTTTCTTGAACAATTAAGAGCCTGCCCTTGCAATATTTGTCAGCAAGGAATCGGACTGCCCGTCCTATCTCCCTGTAACCGTCCATTGTCAAGCACTGCCTTCCATTTGGATCAAACTGAAACAAAAGATAATTGCTAGATTGAGGATCTTTGATAGAGAATGAAAAGAAAATTGTTAGCTAGTTGGTACTCCAAATTACACAAGATACTAACTATCCGCAAAGACCAAAATGCCAATATACTTTTATTGTCATGATTTTCAGTGTTAACTAATTGAAAAAATTCACGAAATAGGAGTAAAAGCAATGAAAATTTTCAAGATATGAGTACTATGTTTTTCCCTTGGAGTACGCTACCGTCATCCTGTACTTTAGTACAAAGGTAAGACTACGTACATCCGACCCCCCTTACCCCACCGTAGGTGGGGAGCCTTTGCGGCACTGGGGTAATGATGATGATGATGAGTACGCTACCGTCATCCTGAAAATTTACTAGCATATTATGGTATTACCAGGCTTTAAATATGGCAGTATATTGCCATAATTGGCAGTATTTTCCAAACATGGCAGTAATTACTCTTATTTAGGGAATAAAAACATCATGTATGAAAGATGCATATGAGTTTGGTTCGGGTTTTAAGAAAATAAAGGATAAAGTGGTTGTTTTACAATTCTAACCTCCAAAAAGTATAAAATAGAAAATGGATCCACAAAAAGTAAAGGGTGAAATGATATAGGTAAAGGGATAAAGCGGAAAAGTAAAAAGTTAATGGAATCCATTTTAAGAAAGTGTTCATATTTTTGGGATAACCCAAAAAGGAAAGTGTATCTTACAAAATGGGATGGAGGGAGTAATACTCATGTTCTAGAATTCCAAAACATAATTTTTATACTCCCTTTGTCCCATAATTTTCTTCCTGTTTTCCAGTTTGAGATGTCCGAATTATTCTTCCTGATTCCTTTTAAATAAACTTTGGGGTGGTTTGTGTTTCTCTCCTTTCTAAATGAACCACTACAACACAAAATCCTATCCTTAAATAGCATACCAAATGAAACCAGTACAAAAATCATGAGACAGAGCCACGGAGAGAGAGAGTACAACGGACAAAAATATGACTACGTACTAGTTTGGACATTAATTTTAAACCATCTCTAATCCTAAATAGATCCCTACATCTCTTTCTCTCCCGGCAATCAAATTCCCATTCGCTGCCGAGCCACCAGCTGCAGGAAAGTCACCTAACGTCGCCGTCCGCCAGGATTTTCCAGGGAAAGTTATGTAAAAGTGGTTACAAACTGCCACCACCAGTTGCAGTTCGTGTGGGAGGTGTCACCGGCAGTGCCGGTGAGGCACTATGACGGTGTCACTGAGGTTGGAGTAGTGATGAGTTATAGTGACATAGAAAGTGAGATACTTGGTGACATTTTTGGAATATTTTAGAATAGTAATATATTTGTCTTTAACTTTTCCTATAGTCATATTTCACCAGAACTCCTTAGCTGCACTATAAATTTGATGCCACCAGCTCCAACTATTTGGGATTAAGGTTGAACTGATGATGACTGACTGTCCTCAACACAATTTTCACGATACAGAGCTATATGCAAAAGAAACTCGATGGACATCTGAGAGAATAAAAAAAAACCTTTCGATAAAAAAAATGGCTTAAGGGTTGTTTGGTCCAAAGAATGTCATATTACTTGAAAATGTTAGATTTTTGTTAAGATAGATTGCAATGGACGCGTTTACTTTGTGTATGGTAAACGTGTTTGGAATGCAAAATCATCTTGTTTGGTTTGAGGTTATCACTTTTACTTTTACCATGTGTTTTAAGTTTTAACTGTATCTACAGATAGTCTCCTAGGGAAGTGCCAAGTGCCAGTGCATTAGTCCCTTGGATAGATAAAATATTTGTAGCATTTCATTTTGAAAAAATTGTAGCATTTATGTCTTCTTCTTAGAGTGCCTATACATTGTGTCACTGACTTGTATGGATGAGATGCCACCCACTTTGGGGGAAAACTTTTGTGGTATTGTGGTGATGGTGTTACATGCCACTGGAATCTTAGATGAAGCAGACCAAGTATCCAGGGGCGGAGCCAGGGGAGAGCCAACCCTGGCCGTGGCCCAGCCTAAATTTAAAAAATGTTCATATTTTTAGTGTAAAAAATTCTGTGTTAAATTTTTTCCAAATATATTCTTTGTACCGGCCCAGTCCGGCCCAGTACTCTGGCTCCGCCCCTGCAAGTATCTGAGACACACACGCTTATATATATACACAGACACATATGTACACATACGTACGTACATACATGCATGCATGCATGCATCCATACATACACACACACACACACATACACACACATATATGAGCTATGTGTGTGGTCTGAGATACAACAACCGGACGAGCCATAGGGCACATTTAATGTGAACCATTATGATGGTCTTAACATTGGTATGTTTATGGGCAGGAAGCTTAAAAACATACAATGATGTGAAGTTTAGTATACTATGAATACCAAAAATACTACCCAGAAAAACTGAGATTTTGTGATTTGCATTGAGACAGAGAATTTATGACAAAATCTAGGTACTTACAGCACTAGAGTCCAGGCCAATAACAAAAACTACCAAATCAGGCTCAAACTTCTCAATAGCAGGGATGACTAAATGTGTCATTGCACAAGCATAGCCCCTATCTCCCGTTCCATTGGGCAAAGGAATATTCAAGTTATACCCAAACCCTTTTCCCTTTCCAAGCTCATCTACTGTTCCCCTCTGCGGATGGGAGGGACCCCAAGATCCATGGTTCATATGAAGAGACACGGTGAGAACTTTTTCTGAACAAAAAAAACCTTGTGCAGTCCCGTTTCCATAGTGGACATCAATGTCAATAACCGCAACCTTTGCATGACCAGCATCCAGAGCTAGTTTAATAGCAAGGCCGGCATTGTTGAGGAAACAATAGCCGTCCGCTTGAGACGGTTGGGCGTGATGGCCAGGCGGCCTGACCAACGAGTAGGCCATGTTAGCATGCCCGTCGAGTATGTGCTTCATTGCAGACAATGTTGTACCCGCTGCAAGTAGGGCACAGTCCCATGATCCTTGTTTCAAGAATGTTCCTGAACAGAGTTCTTTCCCACCACTTTTATCTGCTTCAATCAGTTCATTTACATACTCTGAACAGTTAATGAAACGACAATTCTCTCAATGATTAGTTTTTTATCTCGTTCGAGTGTAAAATGAACAACTTTAGGTAATTCCAAAACCAACTTGCACAATATTTACTAGTAAATTCAAGGTGGTCAATAAGTGCAACAGCGTACATGGGTCGGATTGGAATACCCTAGTATCTATTTAGTAAAATAAGGAGGAACAGTCTAGTCTATACAGGGTGAGTGAAACACAGTGACTTTCCGATACAGAATGATGCAATAACCAACATCCTGAGCTTTTCAACTTAAGATAGAACGAGGAAAGGAGTGGAGACAAATCGTACCTTGGGTATGGAAAGAGAGCAACTCGGAGATGAGAGCAGGTCTTCAACGGTGCCAAGAAAGGAAGGGAGAAATTGGGCCTCTTTTGAGGATGGAGACCATATTCCTCACAATTCTCTGGGTGATTCTCCAGCACATCTAGAAAGCCGGGGTCAATCCTGGAGTCAAACACGCCTCTACCAGCGTCGTGGTTCAGCATACCTTCGTGCCAGAACACGTGGATGACATCTCCGGCTACGGCAGAAGCACTGGCTGAAGCCATGAGAACCTATTCAACTGAGTGTTCGGCCGTTGACTTGGACTTCTTCACCACAAACAAAAATAATAATTAAAGAGATTTACCTAAATAAGACTAAATAAAAGGATAATTGTAACAATAGGACTTTAAACTTTAAAGTTTAAATTCCCAAAATAATATTAATTCTTCCTATTCTACCCTTTCCTTTGTTCTTCCTAATAGGATTTTTTAAACAATTATTATAAAATATAAAAAATCAAAATAAAAAAATCGTAAAAAATAATTAAAAATATACAGACCTCAGTCACCACCTCAGCCACCTTCCAGCACCGCCACCTCTGGTCGCCGGATAGATTGCCAAGTTGCGGAAAAAGAGTTTTTTCCATTTTCAGTCCCTCGACTATTGGGTCAGTGACACTTTTGGTACTCGACTTTCAACTTTTCCATTTTTAGTCCTCGACAATTGTGCGAGAGACATTTTAATCCTCGACTTCAATATTTTCCACATTTAGTCCCCTGAGTATTATAAAATTGACACTTTTAGTCCTTCCATTATAAATTTCATACAATATGTGGATGACTAAAAATGTCACTATTATAATAGTTGAATGACCAAAAGTGTCACTTTTATGAAAGTCAACTGACTAAATGTGGAAATTTTCAAAGACGGGTACCAAAAGTGTCTGTTGCACAACAGTCCAAGGGACTAAAAGTGGAAAAACTCAAAGTCGAGTACTAAAAGTGTCCGTGACATAATAGTCGGAGGACTAAAAGTGGCAAAAATTCAGGGGGAAAATGTCATCATGATGGCAATTTTGAAGAGAAAGCTGGATATTTTCAAAGAATAAAAATGACATCTTCATGGCATTTTCAGAGAAATGTGGCATTTTTTACACAAGATGACATTTTTTCCAGCGACCGGAGCTGGTGGAGCTGGGAGGTAGAGGACGTGTTGGCAGTGACCTGCATATTTTTTAAATATTTTCTAGGTATTTTATTTTATTTTTTAGACTTTTTATAGTTTTTAAAATATTTATTTATTTATTTTTAGTTTTTATTTTATTTTATTTTTCACATTTTTATTATTAATTTGATGGAGTATATGGCCCGGGAACACCCGGCCCACAGACTCCTACTACTCCAGTAAAGGCCCAACAGGCCCAGAAGGCTCAACAGGCCCAAATCACGGCGCCCAGAGTACCAAGCAGCCCGCAATACGCACCAGGGGTGCCTTCGGCCCCCTGGCCGAAGGCTCCAAACTATCACAGCGTGGATATTTCGAACAAACAGAGGAACTGGGAGAAAACGGCGAAAATAGTAGCCCTCGGCACCTGGAGCCCTCGGCACTCAGGGGTCCTCGGCACTAGGAGCCCTCGGCTAGTCCTCTGCAGCCGAGGGCACCCCTCCCGACATGATATCCGCGTCACATGCGTACAGATCACCGTACCCTGCACAGACGTCCCATCCAACAGCCGCATTAAATGCGGCCACATGCGGCTGCCAGCGCCAACCAGTTGAGGTGACCTCTCGGCCAATGGGCGCTTGACACGTGTCCCTGTCCGGCATTTATTGCTACTATAAATAGCACCCCATTTCCCCATTTGTAACCACGCTGAAAACGCTCCGCACTTATAATATACTTTCTCTCTCTACATTTACTTGCTCTGACTTCTCTCTAAGTTATTCCCAGCGATAACCCCTCGGATATATACCCCCCGGGTAGACTATCCATCATAATTTATAAATATTTTATTATTTTTTATATTTTTATTATAAATAAAAATATGATTTTCTTATTAATAAATTAAATCTATTGGAAGTTATAGGAAAGGGGTAGAATGGGAAGAAGGTACATATATTAGTCTTATTTTGGGAATAAAGGGATTGTACTCCTATTGTTGAAATTTGGACTCATTTTAGTCCTATTAAGGGCTAATACCCGATAATTAAAATAACCAGAACTTGTGTGATGAACACCATAAACTTGCATATCCAATTTAAATAACTCAAATTTTATATAAAAAGGTATTGTAACAACATAATCAAATATTATTTATTTCAAAAATATAAATCTATAGTGTTAATTGCATAATTTAAATATTTTAGAATTCATGAAGACACAATCAACATTCTAAACTTTTATTGCAAAATAAATAATGTTACCCTCAATAAATCTATATAATTTCAAAATTATTAATTTGTTATTTTAAATTATGCGATTAACCCCATAAATATACATTTTTGAAACAAAAAAATACATGACCATGGTATCTAAATTACATGTGCAAATTTGGGGTGTTGACCTCACATCCCTTCAAAGTTTGGGGTATTTTAATTATTTTTCCTAACAAGCAAATGGTACACATCCCTACCTACCTACTAACCTATAACCACACAATTCATTTAAAAAATTGCAGAATTTTCTGTCAAAATGTGTGTGTACACATACAATATATCAGTTGTGTACAAATTTTGTGTACAACAATAATTGTTCCACCAAGCTAGGCTGTTTATTTACGAAAGAGATTTTTTCTATCCAATCCTATACATAACATAACTCTCGCAAAAAAAACTTCACACATCACATTTATTTATTAAAAGTTCGGTTAGGTTCCAACATTAATTAGAACCAAGAATAGCTAAACTGAACCGGCTCGAACAGTTGTGATCTGATTCAGTTCTATTCCAACATTATTTAGTTATTTACTAATAGTTTGGTTCATGTTTTTTATTAACAGTTCGGTTCTCGATTTCTATTAAAAAATATGTATGTGGAACCGTTAAGGAAGTGTTATATAATTGTTGGTAGAAAATATCTCGGGTAGACAAACCGGCAGCAATTCCGTATAGCGAAAATCACCTCCCAGAATACAAGGGGTTGGTGGCCTATTTGTAGACGTATACAATATGCCCACCAATTAAGTGCTACATGGGCTTGGCCCGATTTATCAACTAATACTGACGCTAATGGGCCAGCCAGCCCAATAAGTAATTAAACAATCTCGGACCAATATGCGCTAGCCGGACTGTGATCTGAGCTTGGTCGGGCCAAAGCTCCGGTGTAACGGGTCGATAGTCTTGGACCCGACCCATTATCCCAACACGAGTCCCTCACTCCCTTAGTCGAGTAGTAGACTCGGCTAAAAGGGAGTAGTTAGCTGTTTTGGAATTGGTCTGGTTCTTGGTCTGGCTGGTCGGTCATTAACAAGCCTTGAATTAGATCCAATTGCTTGTGAAAGGATGGAGTCTTCCTTGTTCCGACCGAGAGACCTCTTCCTCTATTCATGATGAGGGGGTGCCTCGTTAAAACCTTACTAGGAAAAAACCCAGTGGGAAAAAATCTCAGTGAAGGAAAAAGAGTACACCGGAACCTTAAAATAAAGAAAAGGAAGGCTAGTCTCCTCGGTTCTTGATTGAGTGTGTGCTTTACTGGTAAGTTGAGATATGTTCCGGGAAGGCCAGTCCCACTGATGGTTGCCAGTGGCTCGGGAGAGACCAGTTGCACAGCTTTCTGTTGATGATGCAGAACCGAGGTGTGCTCAGGAGAGGCCAGCGGCTCAGCTGTCTGTTGATGATGTCGAGCTGAGGTGTGCTCAGCAGATCAGGCAAGGTATGCTCTGAAAAGGCCGGTTGCAAGTTGTCCACATTATTCCCCACCACTTGCAAGATTTGGTTTCCTTCATCTGGGTAGCAGTTCGGATCTTGTTTGTTCGACCAGCAGCCCGGGGTCTTGTTTGTCCGATTAGCAGCCCAGGGTCTTCTTCCAAATTCAGCAAAAAGGTGAGCCCTCCGGGACTGCATGCAACTGCAACGGTCGCCATCTGCTAAGGGAATGGCAAAGACCGGTCTTCACTTGTGAACAATGCTCATCTGACATTCTCGGGAGGATGCGGTGAGTAGTCCACCATGATAAGTAATCCTGTTGATTGCTATTATTACTTGTTACGGACATGGCAGGTAGGAGAGGTGCTCTCGTTGCTTTAGCTGCATGGCAAAATGCTAAGTCTCGGCCTTCGACGTCTGATGAAGGTCTGTCTCATGCGGGGAAGAAGCTCGGAGCTTCTCCGTCTGGTGCTAGGGAAAAGTGAGTAGCTTTCATGTTTTGTGAAGAGTGACTTTCCAAGAAGCGCATCTGCTTCCCTGTTAAGGGGAGATAACCCAAGTGGTGGAATCATCGCTTACTCTGTCCGTTCCCTCGTAGGTATGGCACGTCATAGAAGCGCACCTGCTTCCCTGCCCTGACCTTTGTTTCCTCGTAGGTATGGCTGGTCGGAGAAGCGCACTTGCTGCCCTGCCCTGACCTTCGTTTCCTCGTAGGTATGGATGGTCAGAGAAGCGCACCTTCTGCCCTGGATGCGACGAAGGTTGCTAAGTCTCGACCTTTGACATCTGATCAAGTTCATCTAATGTTGGGGAGGAAGCACGCAGCTTCTCTGCCTAATGTCGGGGAGAAGCATGCAGCTTCCCTGCACCCTGCTGGGTAAGGCGGGGCTGACCCGCACACTTTCGGTCTAGGACCGACGAGTTGTGCAAGTTGTTCGACCGGCGATTGGACAACGGATGTATGAGAGAGGCTCGGGGCATGACATCTCGCATACCTTCGACCTGGAGGTCGGTCTTACACCACCTTGACTTGTACAACTAGTTTCATACTTAGGAAATATTTTGGTTGTTCCATTTCTGAAAGTCGAACTGAAGTCTGGCAAACGTAAGGGCAAGGCCTTGCATGATCAGACCAGGACGGATCCGCACCATTTATCCTATCAAGCGCGTATGCGGGCTATTGAGCCGAGCAACTTCAGACAACGGATGTACGAAAGGGGCTCGGAGCACGACCTTTCGCATTCATTTGGTCCGGAGACCAGTCATATAGTCGTCGCATCGTTAATTGGATCATACGTGCATGCAAGCTGTTTAGACAGCAACGTCAGACAACGGGTGTACAAGAGGGGCTCGGGGCGTGACCCTTCGCATACCTTTTCGACCCGGAAGCCGGTCTTACAGTTGCTCTGACCTTTGTTTCCTTGTAGGTATGGCTGGTCGGAGAAGCGCACTTGCTGCCCTACCCTGACTTT